CCTGGCCAAGATGGTAAAACCCCATCTCTACTAAAAACACAAAAAAATTAGCCGGGCCGGTGGCACGCGCCTGTAATCCCAGCTACTCTGGAGGCTGAGGTAGAGAATTGCTTAAACCTGGAGGGACGGAGGTTGCAGTGAGCCGAGATCGTGCCACTGCACTCCAGCCTAGGCGACAGAGTGAGACTCTGTCTCAAAAATAAATAAATAAATAAATAAACAAATAAATAAACAGTCATAAACCATACAGTATAGAAGCTACTATATATAGGAAAAACCACCAGAAATGCAAGAAGAAATTTATTTAAAGCATAATTATAATGAAAAGTTTTAAACAGATTTTCAGGATTTGTATATGTCTGATACACAAAAAATAAATAAGGATATAGAAGAAATATGTAATATCCTAAAACTATTAATTTGTAAGAGTAGAACTTTATAGACAGTATTATAATGACATAACTTAATTTTTCCTCCCACTTTTGGGGGTTTAAATGAAGAAAAGACCTTTGGATAAAATATACATCAATACCCAAGACTTTTCTGGTCACAAAGAGATAATAAAGTCCTCTGGTCACTTTTAATTTTAAAAATCCATAAATTAAAAATCAAGTCCCTATGTATTAATAATAGTCAAGGCTCCAAAATTTATTTAAAATTAATGTCTGCAGTAGAGAAGGTGGGTGTGTAATTAGCTGCTTTTGTATTTGTATGCCTTTTATTTATTCAATTACTTCCAGTTCCTAGCCACATTTTCTGACCCCTCCAGGGGTATAGTAGGAGACAGGAGGAGAGAGAAGAGGCAGAAAATGTCTTTACTGCCTGCCACTGTCTGACCTGGCATTAACGTCTCTGAGCTGGGCAGATGTTTAGAGCTGACTCTGTCTCATGGAGAGCACTCACAGATTCCTCAGTGATTCTCCACTGGGAACCCCACAACTGTAATTTCCTGGTTCTTTAGGTTTCTGTTGTAGATTCTCTTCTAGTCTCCCTATACACATAAACAAGGGCATTGTCATTCACTCTGTTGATTTCAACAACCACTTGTTTCTGATCATTTAAATATATATATTTCCAGTTTAGATACTTTCTTGATACCCAGATAAGTATATCTGGTTATCCCTACTTGAATATTATTATGCAATTTAACAAGTACTATGTTCCTCCTCCCAATAATTTGCATCACTGCCCACCCTGTTGCCCAACCCAAAACCTGAAAACATAATTAACTTTATCTTATTCCTTATATTCAGTCAATACCATATCCTCTTGATTCATCTCCTAGATGTATCTCATATCTATATATTGCTCAGAGTTGTCATTGTTACTACACTGAATCAGGCTATCGTCACCTCTCCCCTAGATTATGGAAACAGCTTTCCTCCTGTTTTGCCCAACTTCAATCTATTCTTCACACTGCAGCCAGAGGGTCCACACAAAAATGCAAATTACATCATGTCACTTCTCGGCTTAAAACCTCTCAATAATTCCCATAGTCTTAAGAATAATGTTCCAAGTGCCTGACATGGCTTACAAGGTCCTCTTCTCCATTTCTTAGCTGCGCCTCTTGCCAGTCCCTTTTCACAGACTATATTCCCACCTAACTGGCTTCATTCAGGTCTTCTTTAGGTATGCCTTGTTCTCTTTTGACATTTCACTTGCTGTCCCCATTTTCTGATGTCAGTTTCTGCTTGATGCCTACCCCAAACTTCATTTTCCTTCACCACTTTAGTAACAAATCCTGAGTTTGTTTGGGGTACCATGCTCCCAGTTAAAAGACTACCATTCTCAGTCAGTCCTGCAGCTAGGCGAGGGCACATAACTAAGTTCTAGTAAATAAAATAAAAGTAAAAGTGTGGGGGAACCTCTGGGAAATATCAAGTGGAATTGAGAGATTTTCTTTGCTGCCTTCTTCCATCCTGCTGCCTGGAATGAGGATATGACAACCAGTGCATGAGTATCATGCTCTAGGGAAGGCAGAGTGGTAAGCTAGAAGCATCCTATGTCCCTGATGGCTTCGTGAAGCCAGCCATACTAGCCCTATGTGGTCTGTTTCTCCACTAATTTTACCTGAGAGATAAATTAGTTTCATACTTGTGTAACCCACTGTTATCTTTTGTTTTCTGTCATATGCAACTGAATCTAAATCAAATCAACCTACTCCTGCAATATTCTGACCTTTCTTTCCAGTGTTTCCACACCATCTCCCATTGACTAGGCAACTCCCACTCCTCCTTTAGATGGTAAGACTTTTTCTAGCAAATTGTCTGTGATTGTTCACCTGGTTATGTTAGGTATTTCAGCTAGCATATTCTTCTAGATTAGACTCTATTGAATCTATCCCTCTCACCATTATATTTCAGGGGCTTAGCACAATGCCTGGCACACGATCAATGCTCAACAAATATTTGTGGTCTGACTTAACAAATTAACAAATAGTAGGTATTATTATAAATTCATATCCTTAAACAGGTCTGAGGTACAGCTGTGGTTGCTCGTATGGACAATGGCCGGTCTATTAGGATCTAAGCTGTCCTACAAACTTATATGGATGATAGGTAGGAATAATTAATGAAGGGGCAGGTTATTTTGCTCCCAGATCTTCATACTTTCTCAGCTTGGGAATCTCCATAGAGTCTCCAAACCACTGTGGTCCCACAGGAGATCTGCCCACCCAGAATACTTCCTTAAAGAGGTCAGCCCTAATATACAGTGAAACTCCAATATTCATCTGTATTCAAAGATTTATCTTAGATACTCCATAGTATGATGAAGCTTACATTCTAATGGAATAGACGATCAACAAACAAACAAATACATAACATAATCAGGTAGTAATGTATGTCATAAAGATAAAACAGGGAACGAAGCAGGAAAGTGATATGGAATGCAATAGAAGTGGTGATCAGAGGTTTTTTGAGGAAGTGATATTTTATCAAAGACACAAACAAATGTAATACACATTAAAATTTCCTGAGGATAATATTTATCATGCATATCTTCATTTTTTCAATTTTATCATACTCTGCATGTGACATCTGATATCATATATCCTCTAAGTATATATTTTAAATTTAAAATTTACTAATCTGAAACATTATTACACAATAAGAATTTTCAAAATACTTACTTCCAATAAATTTTTGTTCTTTTTTTCAATTACAGATCGCATGAGGGTGTGACTCATATGTATGACGTTGTCAATATACGGTAAGCATTCTGATTGATAATCAAGACTTACAACCTTGAAAATACCAATACGCTTCTCAATGGCCATATTCACAATATGTCTAAAATAATTTCTGAATCTATTTAGAATAGCTTCAAATTCTTTTGAAGTTAATTCACCCATAGATGATATTTTCATACTCATGATTTTGGCCTTTTCTACCATGGTACAATACTTTATAAACTTGCAGCTGTAAGCATTAACTAGGCCCATTGAATTACCAACAATAGTCAGGAGATTCACAATCTGTAAAAAAGAATATTAAGACATTAGAATTTTTATTTTTAGAGTGAAAAATGGTTTGACATGCTAATAGTTTCTGAGAAAATAAAATAATAGTGCCATGTGGAGTTTAAGAACTGCTATTAAAAATCTAAATATATTGGAAACATAAGACTTTAAGAAATTTAGATGGCTTTCTAATATTTGGCTTTTACCTAAAGGCTTATTAGGCTGTTTAACTTTATAATTAACATGTTATTTTGAGCCATGCACTGGAGACACCAATCATTTATCCCCTTGCTTGTTACCCCATTTTAGAGTACACTATGCTTAGCCCGAGAAAAGGCCAGGCCCCAACCCCCAGGCCGGAGAGCAGTGCCAGTCCATGATCCGTTAGGAACTATGCCACACAGCAGGAGGTGAGCAGTGGGTGAGCGAGCACTACTGCCTCAGGTCCACCTCCTGCCAGATCAGCCGTGGCATTAGATTCTCATAGGAGCTCGAACCCTATTGTGAACTGCACATGTGAGGGATCTAGGTTGTGTGTCCTTTATGACAATCTAACTAATGCCTGATGATCTGAGGTCGAACAGTTTCATCCTGAAACCACCCCTCAGCTGCTGTCCATGGACAAACTGTATTCCACAAAACCAGCCCCTGGTGCCAAAAAGGTTAAGGGCAGCTGGTATATAGTATGTGACCTCACCCAATTCACCAAAGACATAACTATTTAGAGAGGGTAGAATCCTAAATCAAGCTAAGCCAATTAGATTCTCTTGTAAATTTGGACAAAAATACCCAGTTGATGCTAATGGAAAGAGTTAAGGCATGGCAAGTCAACAACTGATGAGTCTACATTATGAGGGAGCCATAAAAGGGAAAGCTTATTTTCACAGAAATTGGAAAAATCACACAGAGGTGAGCAGTGATGACAGATCATGGGGAAAACAAATGGGGAGATAAGCTGGGAATGATTTTCCAATTGCTATGAATATAATACCCTAATTTTTCAATAAATTCATTTCATGTAAGAATTCAGTGGGTCTCTGCTCCTTAAAGTAAATATTCCCTAAAATGAACTGTTTTAAAACTTACTGTATTTTGGTAGACAGGATCCATTTCAAAAAGGATGTGACAATCTGGCCATCTGGTCTGCTCTGTATAATGTATTATGCTTCCTATCTTATTAGGTAAATCCATTGTTGAAACCAAATCAATGAAGATAGACAGGTGAGGATCTTGGCAAAGAGGAGTAATTGTGGCTAAAATACATAATTTAAAAGTCAGTACTTCAGATATGCCATTGAAAGCAACACTTCAAAATTATCCATGACATCTAGAACTATTGAAATTGGGGGCTGATTTATTATGAGGGCTAGACAACATTCTATACTTATAACTGGAATTTAAAAACAGGTGTAAAGATTTAGATTTAATATTATAGAAACAAAAGAGCCACTCACACATAACTGAGTGGAGGTGATGGGAGGCATGATTGAAACATAAACTGAAAATAAGTCATTCAGTTTACAAATATTTGACATGTATCTCTTATGTGGAGAGTATTATACCATTACAAGGATACAAAAATCAGGAGACACGGCCTCAAGAGTTCACAGTCTAGATGAACAACGGGATGTCCACAGGCCTAGATAGACAGACAGACAGACAGATAGATAGATAAACAAACCTCAACCTATACCTCACACTTTATAAACAATTTCAACTCAAGATGAGTCATATACCTAAATATAAAACACAAATCCATAAATCATCAAGGAGAAAATATAGGAGAGAAAATCTGTGTGATTTGAGTAAGGCAAAAAGTTTTTAGAAACAAAACCAAAAGTATAACCCATAAAAGAAAAAAAC